AGGGTCTATGTATCATGTAGCTCTGGCTGTCCTGGAATCACTATGTAAACCAGGCTGGCCTCCAACTCACAGAGAGATTTCACCTGTTTCTGCCTCTCAGTTGCTGGGATTAAAGGTATGCCAAACTTCTCTTGACTAAAGCTATTTTCAAAGAATTTTTTTAGATAGTGTCTCTCTGTGTAGTCATAAGCTGGTCTGGAACTCACTAAGGAGCCCGAGATGGTCTGGAAATTAAGAGTCCTTTTGCCTCTCCCATTAGGAGTTATAACCAGGTGCCACTCCATCCAGCTTTTGGAGGTATCCTATCGTCAGTTTTAGGATTGACTCCATTCTTTTTGTCTTCTCTGCAGTTCACTTAGCAGCCATGGAGGGCCACCTTCATTGTTTTAAATTCCTACTGAGTAGAATGAACAGTGGGGCACAAGCTTTAAAAGCCTTCAATGATAATGGAGAGAATGTACTGGACCTGGCCCAGCGCTTCTTGAAACACAACATTTTACAGTTTATACAGGGGGCTGAGTATGAAGGAAGCAATCCAGATGATCAGGACAGTAAGTAATTAATTCCACATATTTTAGCAGGGAATGATTATATTAAAGTAGAACCCAAAGACAAAGAATTTGTAATGGCAGATGTTACATTAAAATCTATATATTACTATCCATATTCATCCAGATTCTTTATTATGAAGCATTTTAGACAAATCATGTGGATAGTAGCATAAAGAACACTGTTTGTGACAGCTGGCTAGTTTTTTTCCCCCCCTCAGGGCTGAGGACCGAACCCAGGGCCTTGTGCTTGCTAGGCAAGTCCTCTACCACTGAGCTAAATCCCCAATCCCTGCTGGCTAGTTTTTATGTCAGAGCTTGATACAAGCTAGAGTCATTAGTGAGGAGGGAGCCTAAATTGAGAAAATGACTCCATAAAATCTGACTCTAGGGAAGCCTGTAAGGCATTTTCTTTTAATTAGTGATTGATGTGGGAGGGCCCAGCCTATTGGCTGCTGGTTGTGGGTTCTAGAAGAAAGCAGGCTGAGCAAGCCATGAGGAACAAGCCAGTGAGCACAGCACCACTCCATGGCTTCTGCCATCAGCTCCTGCCTCCAGGTCCCTGCCCTGTTTGAGTTTCTGTTCTGACTTATTTCAATGATGAATAACAATATGGAAGTGTAAGCCAAATAAACCCTTTGCTCTCCAAGTTGCTTTGGTCATGGTGTTTTATCACAGCAATAGTAACCCTAACTAAGACAGTGACATTGCACTTATGAATAAAATACTGCAGAGTTGAAGCATTTAGCTCTCCCTAATGCCATTCTCTTTTTCCTCAAGGGGGTGTCTTAGTGTTACTATTGCTGTGATCAAACATCATGATCAAAAGCAACTTTGGCTTACACTTCCAAAGTCAGCACAGGAACTCAAGTAGGGTAGGAACCTGAAGTCAGGAGCTAACGCTGAGGCTGTGGAGGAGTAGTGCTTAGGCTTATAGAACCCAGGACCAGCAGCCTATGGATGGTCCCACCGACAATGGGCTGGACTCTTCCTTATCAATCACTAATTGTAGAAAATGCTCTACAAGCTAGCCTACAGCCTGATCTTATGGAAGATTTTCTCAATTGAGGTTCCCTCTCTCAAATGACTTTAGCTTGTGTCAAGTTGACATAAATAATTGCCAGGACAAGGGTAAAATGTTATTTGGGATTTATTGGTCCATCTAAGGTTTTATATCTTAGTTATAATTCTATCTATATGTAATACATTCACAAAATATATAATACTATATTATACGTTTATTACAGTAAGAAACTAAACTATTGCAACATAATACTTGTCTTTTCTCCACTTGGCCTTTAAGTTGCTTATGGTTTCTTGCTAAAACTTAATGTGTAATGAATATTTTTGTACATGCTTCCCTGCATACACGGTCAGAGTTTCTTTGGAGAATCATTTCCTTTTCATTATTTCACATAGTCCACACTGAATGTGAAGATTGTATTGCATTCTGGGATCATTGGATGAAGCTTCTTAAAGTTTTGACCATTCTGTGAAAACTCATAATTAACAGTCCTGCTTTTGTGGGGACATGGTGCTATGCGCTTTATGTTCCTACAAATATATAAATATGTGTTATATACCTATATTTTCCCTCTTTAAAAGTTGTATTTTATTTATTTATTTATTTATTTATTTATTTATTTATTTATTTATTTATTTATTTTTCTGGAGCTGAGGACCGAACCCAGGGCCTTGCTCTTGCTAGGCAAGTGCTCCACTACTGAGCTAAATCCCCAACCCACATTATTTTTCTAAGTAATTTGAGTTCTCTATATTCTTGGTATGAATTATTTATTGATTTTTATCAGATATAATTTTTCCTTACAAGTGAATTGTTCTTTTACTTTGATTATGATATCCTTAAACATCAGTTTTTAATTTACTTAAAGTGCATTCAGGTACATGATTTTATGATCTTTGGTTTATGTGAGCACTTATCATCCTAACAGTCAAGATGCAGACATTCCCATCACTCCTGGGTTTGCTCAGACTCCTTCAGCTTACCGCTCCCTTTATGCTGTCCGTGTGTAGTCACTGATCTGCTTTCTGTTAATACAGATTCACTTGCCTTTTTCAGAGTTTTGCGTAGAGAGTCATTTTGAGAATCCACATATGTTAGTTTATTCCTTTTTAGTGCTCTGTTGTATTCCATGATCAATTGAACATTTGGATTGCTTTCAGTTTGGCATTCATCAATAGAGTAGCTATAGACCAGGCATTCTCAACCTTCCTAATGCTGCAATCCTTTAATATGGTTCCTCATGTTGTGGTGACCCCCAACCATAAAATTATTTTCATTGCTACTTCATAACTACAATTTTGATACTGTTATGAATCATAATGTAAATATCAGATATACCGGATATCTGATATGTGACCCTTATGAAAGGGCCCTTCAACCCTCAAAGGCATCAGGACCCACAGGTTGAGAACCACTGACATAGATATCTATTTCTATCCCTCTTTGGTAAGTACTTAGGAGTGAAACATATGATGGATATATATCTAACTTTAGATATTTTTAAGGAGCTGCTTTCCACACTGTTTTCCAAAGTGCTCTATAACCGTGTCAACACAGGTCATAGCTAGTCTGTTCTGTTATAGTCATTTTAATAGGTGTGTGATGTTCCCTTGAGCATCTTTGCCTGGATTGGCCATTCATATCACTTCTGTAATGAAATGTCTTTTTGGTTTTTGACATTGTAAAGATAAGCCTATTCTAATTATTGAATGCTTGAGAGATTTTTTTGCATATTCTGGACATAATCTGTCAGATGTGAATCACAAATATTTTCTCCCATTCACAGTCTTTTTGTTTTCAAAGAGAAACAATTTTAAATTTTATTAAGTTATAGTTTGTATTTTTTTGTTTTAGATAGTGTTGCACAATTAGTACTATTGTATTTTGTAATTCTTTTTATTTGTCAGTATGTCAGTTGAACTCACCTGAGTAGCTTCATATTTAGGATAGTATTGAAACCTGAATTGTATGACAGCTTGAGGTAGGGAGAAGAACAAATGCTCGTGTTTACTAAAATGCTGACTTTCTATTCAGATTTAGCTTTTCCAGGTCATGTGGCTGCCTTTAAGGGTGACTTAGAAATGCTTAAGAACTTGATCGGAGATGGAATAATCAATTTGAATGAACGTGATGATAATGGTTCGACTCCTATGCATAAAGGTGAGCTTGCTTCATACAATTTCTCATGAGTTATTCAGCTTTTAAAGTAGTTATTGATCAGAAAATCTACCCTGTGGATATTAGTGAATGTTATGAAATATACAGTCCCTGATTTCTAATTCAAGGGCCTTTTATGATGCCAGATATGTATACCTTTGCTGGTAATGCCAGTCACGTTTCTCAGTGACATTGTTCTTACAGTCACATGTGAAATGCACTGCTAAGGAAACTTCTTACAACAATATTTATTAAAAGATTTATATTATATATTTATTTATTTGGTTTTTTTGAGATAGGTTTCTTTGTGTAGGTCTGGCTGTCCTGGAACTAGCTCTTTAGATCAGGCTGACCTCGATCTCACAGAGGTTCACCTGCCTCTGCCTCCTGAGTGCTGGGATTAAAGGCATGTGCCACCACTACTTGGAAGATTTATGTTATTTTCCTCTTTTATTTTTTTGGGAACAGGGTCTTGCTGTATATCCCTGTCTATGTTTGTAAAGTAGGCTGGCCTCAAACTCAGAGATCTGTCTGACTCTGTTTCTGTCCTGGGAGCTGGGATTAAAGGCATGTGCCACTATGCCCTGCTCTTTTTTTTTCCTTTAAAAAGTATTTATTTTATTTTATGTATATGAGTGTTTGCCTGCATGTGTGGATATGCACCATGTGCATGCCTGGTACCTGAACAAACTAGAAGAGGGCATCAGATCCCCTGGTGCTGGAGTTACAGACAGTTGTGAGCTGCCATGTGGGTGCTGGGAACTGCACTCAGGTCCTCCTGTAAGAACAAATGCTCTTAGTGGCTGAGTCATTTCTATGATTTGCTTGTTTGAACTTTGAGCTCCAAGTTTTA